TATAGACTTGTTATTTTATCAAGACTATATTTTCTGATCTTTTTAAAACATACGAAGTATTCATATGCCTCTGCTGTAGATTTCAAAGAAAAAAATTATAAAAGACTAAAGAAAGTTATTCGTAGATTAACATTTTCAAGAAGATGAAAACCTAAAGCTTTTTCCAGACCTTGGCGTATGCTTTTTAAACAACATTCTCTGTAAGTTAATGTTTTTCAAATTGTGGATTGCGACCCAGTGAGTGGGTTGTGAAATCAGTTTAGTGTGAATCAGTTTGCTATGAGCACTTTAAAAAAATGGTATCTAGAATAGAACCATTGCATGTCAGATTGACTTTGATGAAACTTTTGTATGTGAGCACTCTTCAAATTCCCTGTATACATCTTCTATGAGTTACCTAAGAGTGACTGTGATCTACATCCTGTGAAGCCTCTTGCAGGCCTTTGTACACCAAAGAGCAAGATAAATTTGTTAAGGAAGAGATAGTGAAGCTGTGATGGAGAACCTGTCTGTTAGGGTCATGCCGAGGTAGGGGAGGATTGCTGGAGGGAGATCCCTTCTCCATGCTTCACAAGATGTAACTCACAGTCACCTTTATGTAACTCATAGAAGATGTGTGCAGAGATTTTTTCAGAGTACTCACAACTTAGAACAAATGTTTTCCAAACTTCTTTAACAGCATCATACAATCAGAAATACATTTCTCTCTCTGGCCTCATGGGATGCCAATGTGGACCCAAAAGGAGGTTTAACTTTCACTCCAAGAGAGGTGGGCTTGTTTCCTTCATTCAACTCCCTCAATGTTCATAAACAATAGTGGTTATAATATCAATCACTTTCTTAGCATATTCTGTGTGCAAGCCTCTTCACACACATGATTTCTAAGACATTTGACTCTGAAAAACTCACTGTTGCCATTTGTAAATGAGGAAACAGACTGAAGAAGGAAACAGCACAGTGAGGGGCTCAAATTCTGTTTTCTAACCTCATTCTAAAGGCTCACTCTTTCTACTATATTAGTGATTTTTAGTCTTTCTTGAGGATAAGAGTCATCTGGGTGGTTTGATAAGTTTGTCAATTCCCAGGCTCTATCACAAACCTACTGAATTAGAATCTTCAGAGAAGGGGTCTGGGAAGATGCAAATTTGATTTCATCCCAGGATATTCTTATGATTACGCTGTTTTAGGAAAGATTGAGTACCTCAGTTGTTCTCCATCTTCAGAGTGTACAGAATTACCTTCAGGGCTGGTTATAACACAGATGGCTAGGCCTCAGCTCCTGAGTTTCTGACTCAGGTCTGTGGTGGGCTCAATAACTTGCATTCCTAACAAGTTCTTATATGATAATAATGCTGCTCAATAGGAAACACACTTTGAGAACCCCCAGCATCTCATGCCTTACCAGTGATTCTGTTTCCCAGGGCAGAGTATGGGGCTGGCTTTGGCTATGAGACTTTTCTTACTCAACCAAAATCCAACAGTATTTATTTAGTACCTACTCCATTCAAGTTTTTGGGAGATAGAAAATGAGTAAGTCTCACTTTTTCTCCCAAACAAGCCTATGCTCTACTGTGAAAAAGGCATATGGAATAGAATGCAGTATATTGTATAATGAAAGAGCAGATGAAATGCAACAGGGAAACCAGGGAGTCAGACATGAATCTGGGCTGAGTAGAGGAGGATTTGTAAAGGTCTGTGGAGGAGTTGAGATCTGAAGGTCTTGCCCTCATCATTCTCCATTTCCATAGCCACTCGGTACTATAATGGCCTGTTGATTTTGCCTGTTTCCCCTATTGCTCCTGGAGTAATCCCAGCACGTAAAGGCATTTTTTTTTTACATTGCAAATGTAGCTTGGGTGGGAGGTTGGGGGAAGGAAGCAGAGTTGGCAAAGTAGATGGTGCCCAGACTGTGAAGGACCCTGACTGCCAGAGTCAGGAGCTTGGGTTATATATACTGTGTGTGTAGTCAGTGAGATGTTTGGAGAGGGGGTGACTGATAACAACAGTTTCAGGGATATGTGGCATGGATTGGAGGAGGGAGGGTCTGGAAGTAAGGGACCAGCAAAGATGGTATCACAGGACTCAGATGAGAGAAGATGCAATGAACAGGAGAGATATCATGGAGGGAGAATGAACAGAAATAGTCATTACTATTGGGAGTGAGGAAGAGATTGGTGATGAAGAGATTTTCAGTCTGAACCACTGAGATAGTGGTGTTTTCCAGACAGAACTCTAGAAAGGGTTGGTTCTTTTCTCCGGACAGAAAGAAGGAAGCAGGGAAAATCTGGATAAAAATTTCCAGGTAAGTGCTTCATCTTTGTCATACAGGAACATAAAGGCTAACCTTAGGTAAGACTTTCCACCAAAGCCTCCATTCATGTCTACCAGAACTATGCACTCTAGAATGTCCAGTGACCTTCACTTTCTTCCAACCAGTCCAATTTCTGTTTATTTAGCGTGCTTTTGGAATATGAAAGAGCAAAAGACAGTAAGTTATAAATGACTTTTACTATCCTGTTTCTGGCTTAGAGCCAGAGAAAAGTACAGCAGTGCTTCTAGATAACTTCTTAGTCACCGCTCTCCTCATCACCATCTCCTTCTCCTCCCAACCTATCTTAGAAATACTTATTCATCCTGATGTATGTATTCACTTGGCTCATTCTCTTAGTCCCTAGACTTTCCCCTGTTCTTTTGTTTTTCTGGATACACTGGAATTCAGCTTCAGAAAACAGAAACATCTTGTATTAGTCTGTTCATATGCTGCTAATCAAGACTGGGTAATTTATAAAAGAAAGAGGCTTAATTGACTCACAGTTCTGCAGGCCTAAGGAGGCCTCAGGAAACTTACAATCATGGTGGAAGGGGAAGCAAACATGTCCTTCTTCACATGGTGGCAGCAAGGAGAAATGATGAACAAAAGGGGGAAAAGCCCCTTATAAAACCATCAGCTCTTGTGATAAACCACTCACATCATGAGAACAGCACTATGGGGTAACCACTCCCATGATTCAATTACCTGCCACTGGGTCCCTCCCACAACACATGGGGATTATGGGAACTACAATTCAAGGTGAGATTTGGATGGGGACACAGCCAAATCATATCACAGCTGTAGCTATTTTAAGCAAAAAAGGACTTAGTAATGGGAATTTGGTGTTTTAAAATCAATGAGAGGGTTTGAAAAATGGGGCATTAGGTAGGGAGATCTCCTGGGGATGACTCACAGAGCATGTTTAACTGGCTGCCTGGGACGCTGCTGCTCCTGACACAGGAAGGCGGCATATCTGGAAGCCAGCACTGGCAACATACCACCTTAACTGAGATTCAGGGATTAAGTAGCCTTTACTGTCACAGCTTTGGACTCTGGAGCCACACTGTGTCTCTTTGACGTGCTCACTGGCAAAAAACAAACAAATAAAAAACACAACTCACAAAGTCGTAACTTTACTAGAACACTGCTACAGAAGAACTCAACATTGTCGTGACTGTACTTGCCTACAGAAACATCAGAACCTTCTGCCTTCTGAATGGCATTTGGTTAGTGGATTCTAAATAATATCGAGAACACTGGCTTCAGGAGAGTTTTTTTTTTTTTTTTTAAGATAGAATCTGACTCTGTTGTCCAGGCTGGAGTGCAGTGGCGTGACCTTGACTCACTGGAACCTCCGCACTCTGAGTTAAAACAATTGTTGTGTCTCAGCCTCCTGAGTAGCTGGGACTACAGGTGTGTGCCACTACACCCAGCTAATTTTTGTGTTTTTAGTAGAGACGAGGTTTCACTTTGTTGACTAGGTTGGTCTTGAACTCCTGGCCTCAAGTGATCTCCCTGCCTCAGCCTTCCTAACTGCTGGGATTACAGGCATGAACCACCATGCCTGGCCAAGAGAGTTTTACCTTTCTATCCTTGGCAGTTCAGAAAAGCACGTTAGAAGGAGGATGGAATGGGTGTTAAGTGGCAGTGGTATTCACCTTGCTGGGAGTAGAGTTTTAAACTCTCCTTGAATTCAAGTATTTTAGTAGGTAAGATAGGAAGCTTTTATTCATGACTCTACTCTGACAAAGCCATATCTTCTCTAGCCTGGCTCTGAGTGGGTCTACTTCTTAACAGCAGGAATGATGGGATTTGAGGATTTCAGTATATTATTAACCTGCTGTAATCAGTTGGGTTTTTGTATGCTTAATTTTCACATTTGGTAACTCATAAAGTGATTCTTCATATAATAGTGTATCAATAAGTTAGAGGAAACAGTAGCTCTAAATGCTTCAATGTGAAATCGATATATCTATAATATGTATGTGGCACTTGACTATGTATATATTCTTGGATATTTTGTCTTTATGTTTATTTTATATTTATTTTACAGTTAAGTGTTACAGTACAAAAGTTAATGTATTTTTAAGCCAGTCTGTAGGTCAGTAATTAATGACACATTTTACCTTCAAATTTTGATTTATCTCATCTCTTTAGCTTAATCTTGTATTGATAAGTTTTGTTCCATATATATTCTTATGTATATGTAGCTTGTAGTCTAAAAGAAAGACTTGATGCCTGAACAGTTTTCTGTTCATCCCAGCAAGAAGGGAAAACCATAATGTGAGAAGGCACTTCTGCTTAGGCTGATGCTTTGCCCCAGTCCAAGAAATGAAACTCTGTGTGTATATGTGGGCTTGGAATGGGGAGTAGGTGAGAGATCAGAAGGTAGAGAAGGTTTTTTTTTTTAACCTCTTTTGTAACTAGGCTTTCATAGGGTGAATGTATTATTCCAGTATAATGAAACAAAATCATCATAAATGTTACTATTAAAATGTATTAAGAACCAGATATTAGCATTTTTTGGATTATTTCTCATTTTGGATTATCTGACTTCTGTACAATCTCTGTTTAGTGCAGATGTCAAATGTCCATGTGTTTATTTGAGTGGAGTTATGAAATGAGGGCAAACATCTTATGCTTTGTCAATTACTTAAAAAACAAACTTATTGTTCTTATCACATTGTAGAATATTATATGGAATTCCTGTTATGGATGACAACCAAGAATATGTCCATATTCCTCTGACACCGCAAGGGATACCACCTGAATTGGCACAAGGAACTAGAGAGCGTGCTCACAAACCACACTTGCAAGTCTTGGGAGAGGAAGTAAGAAACTTTCTTTAATATTACTTTTTTGTACCTCACAGGTCCTCAAACTTTTTGGTTTCAGGAGACTTTTTTTACTCTTAAAAATTGTTGAGGGCTGGCCAGGTGTGGTAGCTCATGCCTGTAATTCCAGAACTTTGGGAGGACATAGCGAGAGGGTTGCTTGAGCCCAGGAGTTTGAGTCCAGTCTGGCCAACATAATGAGACTTTGTATCTACAAATAATAACCCAGCTGGGTGGCACACGTCTGTGGTCCCAGCTACTTGGGAGGCTAAGATGAGGGAATCACTTGAGCCCAGGCAATTGAGGCCTCCAATGAGCCATGATTGCACCACTGACCTCCAGCCTGGACAACAGAGAGAGACCCTGTCTCAAAAAAAATTATTGAAGACCTCAATAATTTTTGATGTGAATTATATCATCTATTAACATGCTAGGAGGCCAATAGAACCTTGGGGAATCTGAGGGACTATAACAAAAGATCTAGTATTTGTGTTATCACAAAAGATGGGGAGAGACTGAAAAGTATTGAAATAAATTATATCTGAAAAGTTACCAGTTTGGCAAAAGGCAGAAAGCTATAGATTCAGGAGCCTGAGCAAATCCCAAACTGGAAAAATCCAAAGGAATATGGAACAAATCACATAATATTCAAACTTCTGAAAATGAAAGATAAAGAAAAACCAAACATCAATCTAAGAAAAGTGGGAATGGCTATATTAATATCAGATAAGATAGACTTCCAAGCAAGGAAAGTTCTCAGAGACACAGAGGGGCATTATATTAAGATAAAGAAAGCAACAAAAAAGAAAGGACATGCTACCTGTAGGGGAAAAACAATTTGAATGGAAATGGGTTTCTCATGAGAAGTGATGGAGGCCAGAAGTAAGTGGCAGAACATTTTTCAAGTGCTGGAAGAAAACAACTGTGTTCCAGAATCCTATGTCCAGAAAAATATCCTTTAGGAATGAAGGAATCAAGACATTCTCAGATAGAAGAAAATTTGTTGCCAGCATACCTACCCTAAAAGAATGGCTAGGAAAAGTTCTCTAAATAGAGAGAAATAAGAGAAAAAATTCAGGAATACATAGAAGGAACAAAGCCCATGTAAAGCAAAAATATGGGTAAGTACTATAAAACTTCCTTCTCCTTTTGAGTTTTCTAAGTTATGTTTGTCCGTTGAAGCAAAATTTATCATCCTGATGTGGTTGTAACAGAATTTAGAGGACATATTTAAGACATATTATATGTCTTAAAGAGACATAAAGGGAGGTGAGATTTCTACATATCACTTGAACTAGTAAAATAATACCCTCAGTCAATTGTGGTAAGCTATATTTATAAAATGTAATACTTAGAGTAACAATTAAAAAGCTATACAAAGAGATACACTAAAAACACTATAAATAAATAAAAGTAGAATTCTAAAATATGTTCAAGTAATGTACAGGAAGACAGGAAAAAGAAAACAGAGAAACAAAAGAAACCAGAGCAGACAGGAAACAAAATCTAAAATGACAAACTTAAACCCTAATTTAAATGTAAATGGTTTGAATTTAGCAATTAAATGACACAGTGGTAAAATGGATTAAAACACATGACCCAGATATATAATATTTACAAGGAACAAATTTAAAACATAATGATATAGCCAGTTTGAAAATAAAAAGGTTAAAAATACACAAACATCCATCAAAGAAAAGTGGGAATGGCTATATTAATATCAGATAAGATAGACTTCCAAGCAAAGAAAGTTCTCAGAGACACAGAGGTCATTACATAATGATAAAAGTGTCAGCACATCAAGAAGACATGCCAGTCTTAAAAAATATATGCACCAGACCATAGAACTACAAAACATGCAAAGCAAAATCTACGAACTGAGAGGAGAAATAGACAATTCCACAATTATAGTTGGAGAGTTCTGCATTTCTCTCTCAAGAATTCATAGAACACTTAGAAAATCAGCAACAACTTCATCAACCAGTAGGTTCCAGTTGAAATTTATAGAACACTGTACCCAACAAAAGCAAAATGCATATTCTTTTCAGATGCCACGAAACATACACCAGGATAGAGCAAATCCATAAGGGACTAAAACTAGAAATCAGTAAGAGGAAGATAACAAAAATCTCCGAACACTTGGAATCTAACAGAATCTAACTCCAAACGGTACAACTATGAATAATCTATGGTAAAGGAGAAGTTGCTAGAAATTTAAAAAATACATTGAACTGAATGAAAATGAAAATACAACATATCAAAGTTTGTGGGACATAGCTAAGCAGAATTTATAGCACTAAATGTTTTCAATAGAAAAGAGAAAGTCTCAAATTAATAATTTAAGCTCCCACTTAAGAACCAAGAAAAAAAAGAGCAAAATGAACCAAAAACAAGCAGAAGGAAGGAATAAAAACAGAAATCAATGACATGGAAAACAGAAAAACAGTAAGGAAAATTAATGAAAGGAAGAGCTAGTCATTTGAAAAGATCAATGAAATTAATCTCTGGCAAGACTGACAAGAAAAAAAGAAAAGCCATAAGTTACCAATATTATAAATGAAATGAGGTGTTACTACAGACCCTGTAGATATCAAAAGATTAATATAGGAATACTATGAACAACTCTATACACGCATACATTTGATTACTTAGATGATGTGAAGAAATTCTCGAAAAACACAAACTACCACAACTCACCCAGTATGAAATAGATTATTTGAATAGCCCTATAAGTATTAAGGAAATTGAATTATTGATTTATAGAACATTCCACTTCTCCTAAATATGTAAGCCCATATGATTTTACTAGAGAGAATTCTACCACACATTTAAGGAACAGTTAACACTGATTCTATACAATCTCTTTAAGAAAATAAGAGGAGGGAAGACTTCTCAATTCATTTTTTGAAGCTAGTAATACCCTAGTACCTAAACTAGGCAGTAAACAAACAAACAAACAAACACACAAAAGGAAGAAAGAAAAATGCAGACCAATATCCTTGCTATGGTTCAAATGTTTGTCTCCTCCAAAACTCATGTTGAAATTTAATTGTTATTGTAAGAGTATTGAGAGGTGGGACCTTTAAGATATGAGTAGGCCCTTATGGGTGGGAAGAATCTATTAGAAATGGGCAAGTTCAGCCCTCTTTTTCCCTCTTGGCCTTTCTGCCTTCCCCATGTGAGGACATAGTAAGAAGGCCTACATCAGATGCTAGTGTCTTGATCTTGGACTTCTTTCCAGCCTCCAGAACTGTGAGAGAATAAATTTTTATTCTTTATAAATTACCCAGTCTCAAGTGTTCTGTTACAGCAGTGCAAAACAGATTAAG